TGTATGTCAAGCTCAGAGCCTTAGGATTGCCGTTGACCCGAATACACAGCGACAGAGCTCGAGAATTCAGGGTGAAGCCGGTGAGAAAGTGGTGCAGGGAACGAGACATCTACCAGACGTTCACGGAAGGTTTGGCACCCACACAGAATGCGGCAGCGGAAAGCCATGTGAAGTGGCTCAAGTCCCAGGCCCGGACCCACCTTGGAGCAGCGGAGCTGGATAAGGAGCTGTGGCCGTGCGCAATGAAGCATGCATGCCAGTTGCACAATGCGAGGCAGCTGGGACACAAGTCTCCAGAAATCAAGTTTGGTTCAGTGGTTTGGGTCAAGTCCAAGAAAGACCGAGGTCCGTTTGATCCAAAGTGGGAACGAGGAAAGTACATGGGTCCAGCGGACGATGTTCGAGAAGGACATGTGGTTCGTCTGGATGATGGACTCTGGCTTCGGACATTGCATATGCGTACAGTCAGGGATGACGAAGTTGAGGATGAAGATGAAGCCGAGCATGTGATCGACCTCGTGGAGCCCACAAGGAGGATCAGAAGGAAAACCAAGCTGCCGGACCCAGAGATACACAGTTTGAGAGCGGACGCAAGAAAGGCTCTGGTGAAGCGGCTACTCAAGTCAAGGATTTGGGAGCACGAAGAAGCCAGAGTAGAACGACCCCAAATGAAGGAGGGACAAGTATGGGATGGAGCTGCGTATGTCAACTTGGGCGCCTACCAGCATGGTGGGATCACAAGCATCACCAAGGCGACGGAGAAGTTCATGGAGGAAGCAGAGATTGCCGCGCAGCTTATTGCCTTGGATCATCCGGGAAGGCCATTCACGTCTATTGCTCTGGTAAAGAATGCAACAATGCCGGTGCACAAGGACTCGTTCAACCTCAAAGAGACGATGAACCTGGTGTCGCCGGTGAGCGTGACCACAGGAAGCAGTGTTTGGCAGGAAATGAAGCCAGGGGATGAGTTCTATGGCAACTACCATGCCATGTGGGTTAATGGAAGGGAGGTACCGGGCCAAAAGTTCAGCATCGAAAGGCCTACAATGGTACGACCTGATCGACTACATGCACCCCTCAAGGGAGACTCAGGAGATCGTGTTGTGGCTATCGGGTACAATGTGAGCAAGTGGGAGAAGCTCTTGGATCATCAGTGTGAAGATCTACAGGAGCTAGGTTTCCAGTTGCCCGCTAGGCAGCCCGTTATCAAGATGATGAACGAGAATAACAGAAGGGCTCGACCTCCAACCCCTCCTATACCAGATTCACTACAAGCTTCGACGGCTATTCCAACGACAGGAACTACGGCGGTGTCGGGAACAAGTGGTGGGGCTCTGGACTCTTCAAATGAATCTACGTTGCAGAGGCCAACTTCAGAAGATCGGATGGAAGTGAGCTCGGCAACACCAGGCCCTTATAGCACTCAGACTTCGTCCTCGGGCTCAGCGACTAGATCCCGAGAGCATCTTCCAGAAATGGGAGGCGAAAGGTTGGATACTATGGTGGTGCCTGGTGGGAGAGTGGAGCTGCGCTTACGATGGGCTATTCGATTCTGTCCGGATCCGGGAGAACAGGATGAGGCAATTATGACATCAATGCCTCTTCTTCCCCTTGGAAATGAGGAGGAGCAACGGATGAGGAGTCGAGTGACATGGCTGTCTGAGTTTGTGGAGGAAGAAAGACAAATTCGCATCAGACAAGCGGCACGAGGAGAATACCCCACGCAACGGGAAAGGCAGCTGTTCTACAAGTTGGACGATGCCATCGACTACATGAATGAGGTTTTGGCCTTGAGTCATCAAGCTCGGGAAGAAGGAAACGTGAACCTCATGAGGCTTGCTGCAAACTCCGAAGCCACCCCGGAAGTGGAGCAGATGTTGCAGAAGCTTGCAGAGCCGATCGAGACGGTCCACAAT